GTTAATATACAGACTCTCTCTATGTGAAGGAAGGAGTAAACTGACAGGCCGTTGCGTCACATTTTGCGCAGCGGGAAGTAGGGAAGAGTAGACGTCTCCTCCTCGCAATGTTGGGCACATTGGGCACTCTACTACGGCGGCTCGCCCATGCGGGCGCCAGCGAGAGGGAGGCGAGCCGACTTCGGTCATTGGAGATCGCGATCGGGCTTTATCCGGATCGAATTTCTTCTTCGTGGCTGGCTCTTTTACATAAGCTGCACAAGAGATCCAACCACTATTGAGAACCCGCCACGGTGGTCTAGTGTTACGGGGCTCGACTGCTGACCCGAAGGTCGGGGGATCGAATCCCGGCCGCATTTTAATGGAGGCAAAATGCGCAAAGGAGTACTTGCACGATTTTGAGGACCGATCGGAATAGGACTGTTTTTCGTTTCCTTGGTGTATAGTGTTTACGCTCTCTACACACCGGAGTCGGACAAAGCTTTTAGTTCGATTTTAAAGTTTTCTTCGCTGAACATTAGAAAGCCAACATAACAGCAATAGACATTGTACCCACGAGTCAACACAGTTTCGCTGAATTTGTGAACTCTGCGTCTTGCACGCAGCTGAAATCGCAAAAAAAATAAAAATAAAAAAATCAGTGGGGGTTGCTGCACAATAATAATTCATTCATCTTTGTTTACGCGCACCACGAGCAGTTGACGAATCTGACGCTCGCGAGTTGCTGTCGCCCCGTGACGTCACACTGGTATGACATGTCACTGGGACGGCGCCCCGAAAATTTTTTTGTTTTTTCTTCAAGGTACTCCTTCAGGGTCCGTGTACCTAGATTTAGGTGAACGTTAAAAAAACCGCGGTGGTCGAAATTTTCAGAGCCCTAGTTGTCCGTCATTAATCACATCGTGATTTTGGGACGTCAAACCCCTACTATTACTTTTGTTAATCGCCAGGTCGCGGGTTCGATTCCCGGCTGCGGCGGCTGCATTTCCGATGGAGGCGGAAATGTTGTAGGCCCGTGTACTCAGATTTGGGTGCACGTTAAAGAACCCCAGGTGGTCAAAATTTCCGGAGCCCTCCACTACGGCGTCTCTCATAATCAAATGGTGGTTTTGGGACGTTAAACCCCACAAATCAATCAATCAATTACTTTTGTTAATCGCTGTTCAGAAATTTGTTCTCGATCGGGCGCGATCACCTTTGCGCCGCGTGGCACCGGCATTATTTTTCTCGCAGCTGTACTCGCTTCAAGCTCCCAATAGATGATGCCACGTGTACTGTGCGGTTCTCTCCGTGCACCAAGTGCGCATTGTGCAGAATATTAAGCGGCGCCCCGATGAGCCCGAATCCAGTGGTCTCATTGTGGGCAAGGAGGATCTCGGATCGTTGTGATCTTGTTCGACCGCCGGAAATCGCCCGTTTGGGCGTTTTCCAAGTTTGCCGCGAGGTCGGCCGCTGCATGTGGGCGCAGTCGCATGTCGCCGCCGTTCTCTGCGCCTTTTGACGCCATCCGGACGGCGGGAGTGAATATAAGAACAGGAGCCGGAATTGTTGGCTCAGCACTGTTGTGCGTGTGTCCTATGTAGGCGAAAGGGTGAGCTGGCAACGGCGCAGGTTACGGTGCGCAGGCGCAGAAGCCCGTTCCCACCATATTCGCGGTAACTTTAGATGCGTTTCCGTTGCCTCCATTGTGAACGGCTTTGCCTTTCCCAGAACATGTATAAGATAACTGTGATGTTTGCTTGGGGCTTTTTTTTTCTTCCTTGGTTTGGCTTAGTTTTTTTTTTTTTACATTCGCGTACAAGCCGCCTAGTAACGGAAATAGGCGAGTACATGAGAAAACGAATGCCACCACTGCGTGCGCGCGCCCGCACGCCCGCACGCCCGCACTAATATATATATATATATATATATATATATATATATATATATATATATATATATATATATATATATATATATATATATATAAGAAGAAAGAAGAAAGGTGGATGAAAAAATAACCAGCCGTGAGCAGGAAACGAACCTACGACCCTCGAATAACGCGTTCGATGCTCCAACATTCCATTGGTTTATTAACTTCCCCTGTACATTCCTTGGCATTACTGTCTGTTAGATCTCATTAATATTGTGTTAAAACACGGAAAAACGAGCCCTTAGGTATACACTTCTTTCCCTTATATATATATATATATATATATATATATATATATATATATATATATATATATATATATATATATATATATATATATATATATATATACCCTGTTTATTCATGCTTGAAGCGCGGCGAATTCGAACTCATGCACTGCCGCGTTTCCGTTCTGTTCACAAGAGGCCGCTCGTTGTTCGTCGGAGCTCCGAGGATTGTGGCTCCGGAGCCCTTCTTGCTTGGCTGGCGGTGTGCACTACCGTGCGCGGTCACGCCCGAATGGGCTTCACCGCGGCTCGTTAGCTCCAGGGGGAGAATACCCTGCTTTGCCGTTGCGCCGCTGAAGAAACAGGTAGGCGAGCCAATCGCCTTGAGGTTCCCCTCCGTTCGCTCTGCTGGCGGCGCCGGGTTTGGTGGTGGTTGGTTTATGTGCGCGCCTGGCAGCCAGGGACACTGACTCATGCTGCTTGCTTGAGTCACGCGCAGTGCATGTGTGCTCTGGTGATCTTCCTCCTCGCGGTTCGTTTTTTTTTTTTTGTGTGTGTGTGGGGGGGGGGGGGGGCATTTAAAGTACAACGCTACTTGGTTTTTTTTCTTCGTTCATTTTTCCTCGTTGTCGGTGGCGCGACTTCTGGTGTGCGCGGCCACGCCGCATGAGTGATAACGGGAGTGTCGCGCCCGAGCGTTGGCGGCAATATATATATATATATATATATATATATATATATATATATATATATATATATATATATATATATATATATATATATATATATATCGAACGAGGGAGGGGCGCGTGCGATCCTTGCTTGGGAATTGCCACATGCGTCACTACTGTGTCGTTTTGTTTCGCTTTACTTGCGTCCGCCCAGGAAACGTAGCCTGTGTTTCCGAACGGGAGTTTGTACGAATAAAAATTGCTAAAGAGGCGCAGCATTCGTTTTTAGACTTGAAAAGCATGGCTGCTTTGTATATATTTTTTTCGTTGTTGCTGTGTTTGTGGATTTGGTGCATTGTTACGGTTGTGACAAGTGGTCATTCCGAACGTAATTTGTGAGCTTTTTCAAGCGTTATAACGTTGGAGGGATACGGAAAGTATAGGATTGAGTGCGATCAATTGTTGAAGTATTATAGCAAACGCTGCTTTATTGGATGTTAATTTCAAAAGGACAAATGAAAGTCGGATTATTATTTTTTTTTGCTCAGTCATTACTGTGTGCTTGTAAAATTCAAAGTACTTTATTGTATTTTTGTTGTCGTGGTACAGGAGAAGTTTTGGAGGCTGCCAGCTTCAGTCGGTTCACTTGGTAGGTGCGGGAACTTGCTGTCGTTAGACCGAGCCGCAGTATTTGGTATTGTGTAGCTCTCTTGTTAGCAGCTTTTCAAACTGCACCTAACCCGAAGGAAGCAGGATTGAATCCCAGCCATGTTTCAGTGGAGGCGAAAAATTCTCGAAGCCCGTTTTATAAAGGTTTGGGTGCACGTTGAAAAAAAACTCAGGTGGTCTAAAATTCTGCAGCCCACTACTACGGGGTCCATCATAATCCTATCGTGGTTTCAGGGCGTAAAATCCCAACAATTTTCATTTCAAACAGCATCCAAGCAGACGACGCGCGCACCAGGTGGTTAGCGGATGTGACGTAAGTTCCTCCGCGGGTGACGTGTAATCTCGATACCGAGGAGCCATGCCTTCGTTGCGCGTCGCTTCCGGCAATTGTTATTAACAGCATTCCCCGTCCCACAACTTTTTCTCACTTTACGTGACGCTTCCGCCCCGATTTCACGCCTAAAAGTTTGCACTGAAGCTGCTCTGCGCGCATGCTATATTTCATTACAGTATTGGTTTCGTTTGTCGTACCTGCTACATGCAGTCTTTTTTTGAGACAGCTGTTTTTTGTATTTGGAAATCACGTGGTCACTGAAAAAAAAAAAGAGATTTTCAGCACTTTATGACAGTCGCAATTTTTTTGTTGTTACGCTCTGAAAAGTAGCAGCTTTCTAGCTGTCTGTTTATATGAAGATTACCCAGGGCCTGGATCATTAACCTAGTTTACTCGTGGCCTTTCAGGCATCATGTATATTAATGATGTGTAAACATCACTCTGGGAAAAGGTCATTTTTCAGTTTGCACTTACTGTTTGATAGAGTGTCGCTCGCCCTCACTCTTTGCTTGGTTATTATATCTCAAAGAAAAAAAAAAGCCCTTTCCATGGAGCACAATAGTAGAGCTGAGCATCTCTATAAGTGTCTGTAGCTACCATAAATTGTGCACCAGTTGCCTACGAACTGTAGCCTGTCCAATTGAGAATGCTGTAAAAAAAGAATAATAGAAGAAGCCCTGCTGGGAATACAGTCTCAATGAAATCATGCCATAGTGTTACATTCGTTGCTGCAGCATGATTTCATTTTTGTGATAGCCTGAGTGGTAACCAGTCAAGTGGAAATGAATTATAATGTGAAAATCGCATTGACATAGAAGTCAAAACAGAATGGCAGTCTACAGCACTCAACAGAGCAAAAACTATAGCTCTATCTTCACTTCTTTGCTGACCTGAAATTACCATTGTTCATTGATTTTCTATTGAAGCACTGTTCACATAAGTGGTCCACATAATTAGCGTGATTTTGGTCCAATAGGGGCAAATTTAGTAATATCCTCTCTGAGCATCAGCTTTTATTTTTCTCACCTGTGCTAGACTGTTTCATTCTTATTTCAGATTCAGTACAGTTTGTAAGCCTATGCACTGTAAAACTTTGCCCCTTTCAGGGGCAATTTCCAACTTCCATGTGAGCAGCATTATTAGTGTTTTTCACTTCAAATAAAAATTATTGTCTTCATTCTTTTCAGGTATCTGCCATACATGTGGTGAAAAAGTGACGGGTGCTGGCCAGGCCTGTCAAGCAATGGGCAACCTCTACCACACTAACTGCTTCATTTGCTGTTCATGTGGTAAGGAGGCTGTGTTGCGGTGCATTGTATCCGTATATTTTTCATGAGTAACTACTGTAACTTCCTGGGCATTGCTCTTAATATCTAATACACATTTTCTTCATTAAAGGAGCTCTCAGGTGCTAACTTTTATTTGCTTTGAAGCTTCGGCTGAGGCTGTGGAAGCCTGGACATTACATGCTATGTGCTACACAGCGGGGACACTAGAACAGGTGCCCTGATGTTTAGTTGCATGGTTTCACACAAATCTCGATTTCTTACCGGCTAATCGATGGGCAGTATTTTGTGACTCCAAGGCGGCTCTATAATGTCTTTCGTCGGCACTTCGTTGCGGGTCCTACGAACAACTGGTATGGGAGATCAGAGAAACGCTGCACTATGCGACCGAACAAGGACACAGCGTTGTGTTCCAGTGGATACCAAGTCATTGCGGTATCTCCGGCAATGACCTCGCCGATGAAGCAGCCAGAAATGCACACGTACAAGCAAACCCTGTGTCCGTACCTTTATCTAGGATTGACTCGGCTAGATACCTAAGTAAGCTGGCGCAGGACATGACACTCCAGAAGTGGCAGTCATCACAGTTCGCACATCATCGACTATATTCTCTCGATCCATCTCTACGACTGCGGCTACCCTCTGGTCTTTCTAGGGAGGAAGGTACTGTGTTGTGCCGTCTGCGTCTGGGTGTCGCCTTCACCAATGCCTACTCATTTAAGATACGGATGGCCAACAGCACGGAGTGCAACGACTGTGCCGTCGATGAGACTATTTGAACACATCTTATGTTACTGCCCGGCATACACAAACGAGAGGCTCCAACTGCGCAGTGTTTTAAATCAACTGGACAGAGGTGATTTCACTGTCGAGAAAGTATTGTGACCATGGCAATGCCCATCCAATTCCCGAAAGGCAACGAAAGCACTGTTGCATTTTCTCAAAGACACAGGCAATCGTTTGTGATGGTGAAACTGTTACACGTCGGCCCAGTCAGGGACTTTTTATCTCCTCCTCTATAACTTTCCTTCCCCCTCTCCCCTTCCCCAGTGCAGGGTAGCCTACCGAGGCTCAGCCCTGGTTAACCTCCCTGCCTTTCTCCTTGTGTTCTCTCTGTCTCCTGATTTCTTACGCACTTCGTAAAGTCTCGCTTTGTTCAATATGGGGGTGCTTGCATGCATTTGTGGTTGGGAGAGGATGTATGTATGTATTTCTGATCACAAGGCAAAAATTGCCAAACTGCATATTGAATTTTGGGGGGTTCAGGCTATTTGTTTAGAACCTCCCAGCTTTAAACACTGTTCATGTGCGAAAATATAGCATACTTCTGTCGGGCAGCATGAGGTTCTGCTCCAAATAAAAGATATATTAGAGGAACAGTTTATCAAATATGCATGCACTTACCTTAAAAATGAGATGGATATATATTATGTATTGATTCTGTTGGCCACTATGTGCAGTGCACTTTTAAAGAGCCCAATTGAGCATTGTGTAGATTTTTGTTCTAGAAATTAGTATTGTTAAATATTTATGTGTACATTGCCAGTCTGGAACCTTTGAATGGACGGATAACTTATATTGGTCAGGCTCTTCTGAGTGCCAGATTTTTTTTGAAATTTCGATGAGCTGGGGCTCTTACATGGAGCAGAGCCATTGGATATAATTTTTACATTTGCAATAATCTGGTGTGATTTTTCATCACTCACCTCAAATTGAAATGCTAACCTTTTCAGGGTGAATCTATTGATTCATGAAGGCCTTTCAATTGGTTACTGATTTTTGTTATTGGTGCCACTATTACTTACACACCATTTGCCATCACTTTATGGACTGATTGTCTTCAGTGCCAGGTGTTAGATTCCTCCTATTTTAACTAGCTGGTAAGAGCAGTCACCTATAGAGTTTGGCTGTTGTAATATTTTTCTGCATCAAACTACATCACTGAGAGTTTGCTTTTCTTTTGTTTTTGTTTCCAGCGATATTTTTTTTCTTCGTTTCCCACATTTTGAGCTGCAGAGCCGGTGTGCAGCTCTTTTGAGAGTCTGTCTGGTACATTCTTTCTTTCCAGGACATTGTAATAATAGAAGCAACGACACTGGTTTCAGTGGTGTCCTTATTATTTTTTAGATTAATATTATTTATGAATTTGCATGCAAAACATTAGGATGAATTAGAAAACAACATTGCTAATATAGTGAGGAAGCCACTTATATGTTTATGTTTAAAAATATTACACATGTTGAATAATTTTGTGGCATTCAAACTGGGAGCTTATTGCTCTTGAAGTTCTTGTCAAGTGTCCATACTAAATTTCCCCTCGCAGTATAAAAACGCAGCTGCATGAAACGGATTGAACTTCGATGTATATTAACTAAATTAGTGTTTTTCCTAACAGAAGTTGAAATCTTTACCTGCAGGGCGTGCTCTGAGAGGCAAGGCATTCTATAATGTACATGGAAAGGTATACTGTGAAGAAGACTACCTGGTGTGTATAATTTTTCCCTCCCGTTTGTTATAACATTATTAACTGTGGGAATCTGTATGGCAACAGTTCTGAAAATGGATTTCCGAGCAAGTTGTCTCAGCATTTTTGATGACTTTTGCATGCTTACCAACTGCTTTTAATGCTGAATTCTGGGCAAAACGTTACATGAAAGCATCGGAAGCATATGTGATTCAAAGTGCCTCATCTCTATGTGTGTATTTATTATGCAGTGTTGTATAGGTACAAACACATACTGTACTTTCACATACACAAAAGAATCATGTTGAATGAAAAATGTGAAAAAACTGTACTGTAAAGCTTCGTTCTTTTGAACTTGGTTATTTTAAAATCCCACTTAATTATTTTGGAATCCCACTTAATTCGAAGCATTTCCTCGGTCCCGTATTTTGTAATGTAAGTTTGAGCATATAATTTGAAGTGGCGGTCAGCACAAGTCCGGTTAATTCGAAAGCCTTGCGTGCAGTGTGCGAATTCCCAATTTAGCTGCAAATCCACGGAAACGGTGGCCTTTAGGAGCCACCAGGCATTGTATTTTAATGATACTATTGAGTAGTAGCTGAAGTACCTCTATATAAAAGAAAACGCTCTCGTTATCCAAAATATGCGCCTGTGGAAAGCAAGACATGCTTCACTACAAAACAGCAGTGACGTGTGGGCAGCATGTTGCATGCTTCTCGCAACGTCAGGGCGTCACGATTTATCCATTCTTTCTGGGAATTTGAAGAAATATAATGAAGGACAGTCTGGGGAAATCTGCAATGTATGCGAACCTTCGAGTGCTGGTTGCTCGAGCAATTCGCTCACTTGCACAGCTGGCAGAGTTCTTGCCTGCAACGCCTACTGCGAAAACTCGGGTCGAAAGTTTCAGTGGTTATGTTTTTCAGCCAAAACACATCGCAAATTTCGTCACACTGTCCATTATTGAATTCTTTGTTTTACGAGAAAGAATGATCGAATGGTCGCATCATGACGTGCTGGCACGAGGAGTAGGCGACATGCTGCCTGCGTCTTGGTTTCCACAGGCGCGCATTTCATTTGATCACTTTTTTTTTATTGTGATAGCAATAAATGGACACTCTCGGCTAAATTTTGCCGCCAGAGTTAACGTTGGTGTCGCCATTGTCGTCATTCACCGTGTATGGATACATATCCATATATATGAAAGTGCAAGAAACAAAGATAACCCGGAAAAAAAGACTCCGGCACGCGCAATTGAACCTCTGACCTCTGAAGTGTGAAGCGTTGACCACTGAGCCACGAAGGAGCACCTGCTTCAACCTTCAAACGGCAGGCTATTTATTCTATTCTAACACTTACCACTGGCAATGGGCATCTGAGTGGAACTACTATTGTGTTTTCAGCATTACCAGCAAGATGGCACCATAAGCACGCGTTGCCAGATCATCATGACGCGGTGGTGTGCGCTTTCATATCCCACGCGTACTTTGCTTCGCGGAGAGGGGACGCTCTCGCGTGTGCTTGCTTATTTCTCGGTGGGGACAATCGTAAACTTTGGGCTTTCGCCGGACCGATTCTGTTATAGTTACCGGGCGCACAAGGGTCACGCACTCATTGCACAGTCTCTGTTTGCGAAAAGAGCGTGCTTTTCACATCCAGCGAAGTAACAACCGAGACCCTTATTTGCGTTCATCTGTGCCTGTGAGTATGTTTCATGCGTCATTTGTTAGTGAGAAATGCGAGGCACGTTTTCATCTGCTTGCAATTTTTGGTGTGATCTTCTAATTTGTTGCTATTACGTTCATTGCTTTGTGGCAAAGCTGCAACTTTTTTTTTTATGTCGGGACAGCAGTTAGGTCCGGAATTTCCCTTGTTTGCGGCAAAGCTGTAACCAGGTATTGCTGGAGAAGATAACCCTTGGAGCAGCAAACTAGTTGGCACAGCAAATGACCAGCCTTGGTTAATTTGTAATTTGAATAATTTTAATTGTATTGCATTCCACACTTTGTATGTTCTGTTAATTTGAAAACCCACTTAATTGAAGATTTTTCTCGGTCCCAGTGTCTTTGAATTGACAAGGTTTTACTGTACTGAGTGTACTTTGGTCGATTTTACACTTGATTATGTAAGGTAACATTCTTCAACTTCATGGCTCTCTATAACTAGCACCACCGAAGCAAGTTTTTTTTTTTTCCTAGAAAGATGTAGGATTTGAAGTATCTCTTGTGCTGCACCTGTTTTCTTTCCTGAAAGTCATCTTTAAAAGTAATCAAAAACTCTAAAAGAAACAAAGACAGGATAGTCTTATAATGAACACCATGCACAGGCCAGTACAGCTTCATAGCATCATCACTCACCCTCATAGATAAAAATAAGTAGAGCCCAAATTTTCAATAGCTTGCAGGGAATCATTTAGTATTTTGGGCTTGTCTTGCATGCCATGGGTTATTGAGCCACCAACTGAAGCAGTAAGAGCTATGTTTTAAACTTTGTTGGTGCCTCCGTGGAATAGAAACTAGGGAGGAGTGGTAAATACAGTAGCTGTCAACTGCGGCCAAACCACAGGAAAATCTAGCCACTACATATACTTCATAGTGCTTAGTATACCTTACCAGCTTTAAAAGGGCACAGGTGTGCGCAGATGTGCACAGGTGCAGCACTATCCTGAATGTACTTCTACGGTCTCCTGAGGCCACGTAGAAGATTCTGCTGTATTAAGAATCTCCAAAAGCTTTCTATTCAGACATGCATTCAAATCTCGACTATTTCATTGCTTCAGGGCACTGTATGATATTTCTTGCACATGATTCCTTTCACACATGAAGAGAGATCCTTGCTTGAAACATGCATAGTCATTATACATCTATATGAGTCCTCTAAATTCATTGTGTTTGTTCCTTCATGACTGTGGATGAATGGTGCCATCTGTACCACAGTTTTTTTTCTAAAAGATGACATACAACTGCTCTGCACCCAAGGCTAGCATGCCGGTATCTTTACCGCACAATGTGGCAGCAGTCTTCATGTCGTTGTGTTAACTTTATGGCTTGCAGACTAAAATAGACCTCTGAAAGCACCTCTTTGTGACCTGATAAGCACAGGAAGCCAAACAACTTAGCTGCTGCCATAAATCAACCTAGTCATACATACTCTTGTGCAATGTGCCCTTGCATTCAGTAAAATGAGCTTCATTCATTGCTGAAGCTTCGGCTGTTGAAATTTCATTCGGTAAAAGAATGTAAATTTTTTTGTTTCCCTGCCTCTTTTACAGTACTCTGGCTTTCAGCAGACTGCAGAGAAATGTGCTGTTTGTGGACACTTGATTATGGAAATGGTAAGGGCAACACTCACCATGTGCCTTTAGTAATAAAGCTTTATTGTATCAGCTCAAAAAACAAGCACGAAAAAGGCGCAAGCACAGCCACGCATAGTGCTGCGTGTGGTTTTATGTGTGCTTTTTCTGTACTTGTCTTCCGTGCTGCTTTCCTATGATATGTTTAACCAACTAGCCGACAAGTTCACTCTTAAGGCTTTGACTTGGAACAAAATGCATGTGCTTTGTTTTGTTGAGCATTGGTACAGAAGTATTGAGCTCTTTTTCTCTGAAGTTTCTTTAGAAGCACTGATATTCTATTGTACATAAATGTGCAATTTTGTTGCAGATTCTGCAAGCCATGGGAAAGTCTTATCATCCTGGCTGTTTTCGCTGTTGCATATGCAATGAATGCTTGGATGGGGTCCCATTCACAATTGACATGGACAACAAAATATATTGCGTCAACGATTACCACAAGTTAGTTTCTGTGTTATGACATTTTTTCTTTATTCCTTTTTTATTGTGTTCTTTGCCATTTTATTGTGTCTATTAGCAATGAAACTAATTCGACTAATTGCTCTTGCATAGAAAAGCTTGGAGCTTATGCTAGCTGGTGCGTTATTATTGAGTAGGTTTTGCACTACACCATTCCTCATACTATCTTATTGTTTGTATGTGCAGTGCAAACATTTACTAGACATGCATAAACATAAAGACATGAAAAGCCCATTTCTTGTCTATGTTTACACAAAATGATGCTTTCTAAGAAATTAAATAGAAAGTGGTCCTTAACTTCTGCCTGTGAAAGTATATCGTCACGGGGTCGTGACGTGGCCGAAGACAGGAGACTTCGTGTTGGGATTTAACTGTTTATTTGGGCGAATCTGTGCCCGGTAAACGGAAAGTCCAATTACAGCAGCAGTCTTGCACAGATAGCAGTCTCGGACTGATAGCGGCGAACGGAGCATCGGCCTTCGATCAACAACTGACAAGCGGCGAAGTGCGTCGGCATTTATACTCTTGCCGTCTAATGTTCTAGCGTTATCGCTGACGGTGGCATAGGTTCCAGAACAATCTGTACCGTTCGCACAGTGGGCGTGATCTTATCGAAATGATCTACTACAGTCCGGAACCTTCTTGAAAACTGCAGGCGCGGTTTGCACTGAGAATCGTGTGGTGTTTTGGGACGATAACAAAAACTTGGGAAATGGAACGTGGGAATATAGTCATCTTAAAATGTGAAAGTGTTCTATAAAATTGCATTTTATAAAATTGTTGATTGAATAAGTAAGTCTTTAGCCGTGGTTGAGAATTTTGTTACTGTTCTGCAAAGCTTCTGTAATCCATCTCAATGCTTTGTCACTTCAGCAGTGATTCTTGCTTCTCTTATTATATTTTATAGCTGAGAGTACTGTAAGCTATCATACATACACAGATAGTAATGGATCTGGTATGTCATTTCTACAGAAACAATAATAATAATTTATAGGGTGTAATGTCCCGAAATGACAATATGATCGAAAGACACTTTAGTGGAGGGCATCGAAAATTTCGACCACCTGAGGTTCATTAAGGGCAACCTAAATCTAAGTACGCAAGCTTTGAGCATTTTCGCAGCCATCTAAAATGTCAACATCGCCAGAATTTTTCTGCAAAAAGAAATTTAATTTTAGCACCAGCTTCACTAAAAAAATTACGGCATATTCACTGGGTGAATGATGATGAATGGGCGAAGCTCCGGAGGGATTCATCGGTAAACTGTGAATCTTCCGTGTAATTCGCCCAGTCGATCATCATGTAAAGACGTGAGAAACGCTGTGTGTGTATATACACAAATCAACTTTTATTTGTTCTTAGAGGATGGATGGCTTGCGATGTCCCTTGCCTCGCGCGCTCGCACATCGGGATTCTGTCTGCGAGCGCGCGCTGCTGTCGCCTTGCGCTCTCTCCGCTGTGCAGCCTTATCCATCCGGCGACTCCGAGCGCGCGCCAACAGCGAACGGATTTTATTACAACGCTCCCCCTAGCGTACGTCGCCGCACTAAATCGAACGATTGCCTTCAACCAATGACACGCGCCATATGTGACATCATTCCTATTTTATAAGATCTCGCGTCTTTCATCAACTACAAGTACTGCTTTCTAGTTTATAACATCTTGCATCTTTTCATCATCAGCTACAAGTACCACCATCTAGTAAACACTACAAGAACTAAACGAGAGGTGGCTACATACAGGGGACGGTACCGCCATCTAGTGAACACTGCAAGAACTAAACTAGAGGTGGCTACATACAGGCTACAGGGGACGCACAGCCCACGCCCTAAGGAGCTTTGCCCCTAAAAAAAAAAAAAAAGCCTGATCGCTGTAGAAAGCCAGCTTCTCTGAAAGCCTGAGCCTCATCACCATAGTCAGCATTATCATACATTGTATTAATATTTATAGGGCCATATTCGAGGATGAGGTGCCGTAGGTGTGCATGTTATGTCATCCATAGTTCGAGTTTAAATTTTAAACTGAAAAATATGGAAGTCTTTTTTAAAGACCCATGTTAAATTCGCATATTAGCAGACCTCCAGCACAGAGATAAGAGCACATAGCGTTTTAAAAGCATTAAAAAGCATGTATAGCTGATACACTCATAGAGAGGCACATATTACGAAATATTAATAGGGATGCTAATATTGCTTTATTTATTTCCATATAAACTGCATGATGGTTGATGATAAACAGTGCATTGCAAGGCGGTGTGAAAATATTGAGCCACTGCAGTAGTATTTGAGTATAATGCATCACATCAATAAAGAAGTAGATACCGTAAAAGCTCATTAATTCGACCAACATTGATTTGGACGTGTTCTCTTGTCCCAGCCAGCATATGCATTGTTTGATGACATGAAGCACTTGTTCTTTGTCACATTTGGCCTCTGCCTGGTTCATTCGAACGATCCTGGGAGAGCGCGATGCATTGCAAATGTGTGATGCAAAAAAGCGAAAACGGCGTTCACAGACAACCGAAGCGAGACGGTACTGTCCACATTTCTATTTTCATCAGTTAGTAACCACGGTTTTGTCCACGTCTGGATCCAGCACTCAGCAGCATCATTTCAATGATGAAATGCATGCACTGTCTCAAAACTCAAACAAAGAGGAAGCTAAAAGCTTTGAGCTACGGTGGTATGCTCACATAAAGCTTGTTTGCTGCATAGGGATAGATGAAGTATTAGTTCTTGGTCATTTTACCTCCGTAAGAACTATTGTCACATGCACATAGTGGTTCTGGCAATACATAATAAGGAAGCAGTTCAGAGCTCATTTTAGGCTAATTATACATAGTCACTGAGAATGAAATCACAGGATGATGAAAATTGTGGCTTTTACACTGCTCTTATACAAAATAAGAACAGAATTGACTTATTCATCGAGAAAATGAAAATTTGTGGATGTAACAGACATTAGTTTATTATTTTCTTGATACATTTAATAATTTGGCATTTAAATCATATGTCTCTTCCTGTCCTGCGAAATTCAAGTGAACAAGCTTGAACTGATGAAAAGATGCCTCAGATAATTCTAGCGAGAGTTTAAAAATATACACACATACTCTAGGATGATGTGACTACATGCATGTTGCTGACTATTTATTGCATGAAGTGAGTTGCACTTTGCTGTGTTCAACTTAATTTCTTTATAAACAAAGTTTACAAATTTTTTGAACAACAAGGGAGAAAAAAGTTTAAATATTATTGATCAGTTTCCAAAACATTTGATCAGGCAGTCTTTCTATTTATTAAAGTTTAAGTGTTTTTCTGCTTGGTACAGCTGTCCACAAGATTTTAAAAAATACCATGTGACATGCCTGCTTGCACACCTGTGCGCTCCATGATTGCAGTGCTTCCTAACGATTCATGCTTCATAGTACTTGTCATGTGTGCTGCTGCTTAAAAGCAACATGGCAGTGGCGAAGGTGGTGGATGCACAATGACAAATCTGTTGCTTTCAGCTGCACAAATGATAACTGCTTATCACTGTCATGAGCCGCTATGAGAGAAGCATATTATTTGTACACTCACACCTCTTGATAACAAAGTTGCATCTTACATGAAAATAGGTTTGTTATATCTGAAAATTCATTATAAATGTATATCCCTAACACCATATCTATAGTGAGACCATACTTTGTTTACTTTGATATAACCAATATTTGATTATATCTAGGTTTGATATATTGAGGTTTGAGCATACATGGAACATTAGGAAGCACTGTGATCGTGGTGCACAAGTGTCCATGTCATGTTGTATTATTGTATTTCGCAGAATTCTCTAGTAAACATAAGAACGCCAATAAATAATAGATAGATACTAGGAACTGCCATTTCGATGTTTTGCAAACTAATCTACAACTTCCTGATTGGAATTTTTGTCCAAGTTTATTGCTTCAAATGAATATCAATCAGTATTTCTTAATTAAAATATTTAATAGAACACAAGTATAGTTCGATATACTCCATGCAATAGTCAACAACATGCATCTGGTCTCGTCATCCTCGTGTGTGTAGTCGCATTTTTAAACTCTGGCTGGATTTCACTCAGGTGCCCTGTTCAACACGGTGTTCACTAACATATATGTAATGTGTCACAGAAACACTATTTGAATGCAGTAAGAAAATGTTACCTATCTTTAGACATTGTGGCCATGAACCTGCAAGAAAAATGTTTAATTACATACACTTAGCTTATAGTTGGTCACTTGATTTTATCGGTACCTTTTAAGGTCCCTGCATTTTTTCCTCCCTAACATAAGCGATTATGTTACGGCAGATGTGATGACCCAGAAACGTGAGCGGTTGGAAGATTGTTTTATAATGACATAGAGTTAGTGTTTTGAGAAAGCTCACAAATGCATGTATGCCCTTGCTTCCGGAAATGTGTAATCAGTAAGCAGCAGTTCTTAATTTCACTTGTCATGTCACTGCATCTTTCTCATTCTTTGTCACTTTTGTGATGTGCGAACCTCGGCAGGGTATCTATTAAAGTGCTGCAGGAAATAGACACGGTCTCTTAGATAGGCCGGACCTTGCTGTTCGCATTGTCCCATCTGACTAGAACCAACGAGTTGACAGCTGAAAGGGAGTGTAAACTTTTTACTTTTCATATCGTTATGCATGGCTTATTTTCAAACATTTCTTACAAATATATTCCTTGAGAAGCACCACATTCAATCAGGCAGATGGCTCAGTTTTTAAGAACGGATCTTTTCAAAACCAGTTCTTCTTCACTTGTCATGGTTGTTACTTTGGTGAAATGTACATATTTATCACTCCTGCTGCATATATTTATATGGTTCAACCTGTGTCTATTTTTCCAGAATGTTTGCGCCGAAGTGTGCAGCTTGTGGGAAGGCAATTACACCTGTGGAGGTGAGAGCTGTCTGCTTGCTATTCCCTTAAAGCACTATTTTGACTTATGATATTCATTTCTACAGGGAACTGATGAAACTGTCAGAGTTGTTTCAATGGACAAGGATTTTCATGTGGACTGCTATGTTTGTGAGGTAAAGTGAATTTTTTTTAATGGCCAATTTACTCTATTTAGTGATGTTCATGCAAGATTTAAAAAGGTTTGTGCCATAGTTTAGATATGATACTTGAGGAGAAAGGTTCTATTAGTTTTCTATAATTAAAACACACTTTCTACATCTTTCTCCTCCTGTGGTGCTATTCACCTATGCCAAATGCAAATTTAGTGCAGTAGTGGCAGCGGGTGGCGGTGGCAAGGTTCACCGCCGCCCACTTGCTTTTGCAGAAATGAAAATGAAGCGAATGTAGACACATAGCAATATTCTGATATTGCTTCCTAGTTTTTTGGGGTTACAGTACACTGTTCTGCGGATGCTACATCAAAAATCATTTGTTGCCATTATCAAAAACCTGCATGGTCATATATCTACACTTTAAACAATGTCAGGGCAGGTCTGAATAATTAAAAGTATAGAGTAACCTTGGGTAGGTAAGTGAGATAGTAGGGGGCCTCTTGACCCCCCCCCCCCCCCTCATCGGCATGCATGCCTTTGGTGGCAATTATTTGATGCTGAAGGATTTGAGCCTTCTCTATGTACTAACTACTATGTCATCAATCAGACGACTTGCTATACTGACAGAAATTCCTGTGCTTTGGTGACATCATGTGTTGTCATTGCCTCTCTCTGTAGTATTGAAGGCAAATTGAGTTATCGAATGTTCTAGTGAGTGTATTGAAATTTTGCAAGGATTACCGTGACTGGTTTGGTGTTTTTACATTTTTATATAGTCTTTATATGAGAGCCAATGGCAAAAGAGAAGTCCGTTTAAAGAAGTGTTGTTTTATATGTTTAAGATCGTACAAGTGGTGCAGAAGCTATGACATATATGTCACATTTGTGTGATTGGCACTGAAAGTAATAATAAGATATCATAATGTTTTGCAATGTTTGCCATTGTTGAAGACCTGCACATGGGGTCAAGTTTTTGCAGTCCAAAAGAAGCTGGGATGTATCCCTTTCCATGAGGGGCATTTATCAAAACAGATACACTGCCTTGTCACGTGTCCCCTTGTGCAAACACCCTTCCAGCAGATGTCCCTCTAGTCTGAAAGCTTTTGTAGTTCCTATAAAACAGTAGTTTTTCCAGAATCAGTCAAAGTCATAAAAAAGATTGTTGGCAGGGGCTTAGCCAGAATTTTTCTTTTTCGGGGGGGGGGGCACTAACACTTGTAATGTTTTCTGCGGGAGTGTAAAAGATCAGTCATGATGTCACCAAACGTTTACTTTCATTGTCTTCTTGCTTTTTTTGTGGTCCGCATACTGGTATTATGCAAAAAACTGTGTTAAAGAGCATGTATAGAAATTCTGGTGTTGGCATTGACATCAGTGGTATTATTGTACATAATCAAAACAGTATGATGAATGCAAATAATAAGAATCATGGCTCTTTGCTAAAACTGAGCCCACGCCTTCAGCATGACTGTGAGGTGTTATACCACAAAGTGTAAACTGTTTCAGGGGGGGAAGAAGAAAGAGAGAGAAACCTATACAGTTGTCATGAAGTGTAAGAAGTCATTTTTTCATTTATAGAATTACATGGCAGAATTGTAGAATCACACGATAGAGTGGGTGGTTTCAAGGCCCACCCTTTACAAAGTGCTCAGGCTTAATCAATCATCAGGAGCAGCAGCAACATCACAAAAGTGTGCAGCTGCGCAGGTGCATATACTATCTTATGAGCAGGCTGAGGGTGCTTTGATATTTAGCAAATTAATTAATTATGCCATAACTGGCACTTCAAAATTGTACTTGCATTTGGCATTAAAAAAGTGTTACATGTGTAGATGTGCCTTTCCTCGCAGCACAATACAGTTGTCCACTGAGCAGTGAAGCCAGGTAAACAAAAGGGGAGATGATGCAAATGTGGCCTCGTCACACTATCGGGGTCTACTCTCGAAGGCAAGGCTCTAGCATTCACCAAGTTCTCGGTCTAGCTAGCAACATCTTGCAGAATCACAAGCAGTGGCGTACCAACTCTTTGGCGAGTGGGGGGCTAGCCTACTGCACTTGGGGCACTCTAAGGCACTAGTGTGTGTGTATGTATGTATGTATGTATGTATGTATGTATGTATGTATGTATGTATGTATGTATGTATGTATGTATGTATGTATGTATGTATGTATATATATATATATATATATATATATATATATAATCTGAGAGAGACCACTTCTACCTCGTGCTCGCTCTTTCACCTGGGTTTTCATACACACAGCACTTGTTCAGTAGCATAAAAAACAAGGAAAAAAAAAGGACACTCAGTTTAAAGCAACATGCACTGGGACAACACATATAGGTCTTTCATGCATGATGCATGTAATAATATTACGCACGACGCTTTTATGCATCACCTCACAACTTTCCGCATGAGTACAATCATGTTGATGGCAGCCTCCTCAACTGTAAATATTTTATCATTGAATAAAATTTTTAATGACTAAAAACAGCTCACAAAGATCTCAGTTTTTAAATGTGAAGCACTACTGGAGGAACCAAAAGTATTTTGAGCATTTCTATCTACTTATTTTAGCTTTCTACTGAGCTCGAGTACACTGCTTTATTTGTCGTCGCTTTGCAAGTTGCCTCTATCTCTCCAAGTTGCCATAAGCAAGGCTGATCAGATTTATCGGAGATTAAAAGAGTGAAATAAACGTTTATTTAGAAACAGTGTTCCGAGCATGGCCCGGTGTCACCCTAAGGTGGAAGGGTTCTCTAGTCAAGGAACCCTCTGGTTTCGGCTGCCCTCTTGGTCCTGGTGACGAGTTGTCGCTGGTTTTCCAGGTCCTTAAAGCGGAAATTTTTTTTGGTGCTTCCAGTAAGGCAAACCTAAAATATTTAGAAAGCTTAGTCGCAATCATGTGCTCACAGCAGGTTCGACAGAGCAGCGGTGATGGTAATACTTTTTGACGAAAGAAAATGATTTTCCTGAAATGCTTTGACCAGTCCATAAAAAGTTTGTTCGTTTCCATCTATAACTGCATCGGCCAGTCACAGCAGAATGAAAACATGAACAAGTGATGCAATATATAGGGCCCCTGTTCAGCGCTAGCCTGCTCTGCAGTGCTACAGCACAGGGCGGAAAGCGTCGCAAATAGCCTTCAAGGAAAATATTCACTGCTGGAATGATGGAAAATTATCACTGCATATTGTACCTTTGCCTCGTACTATTTTCTTTTTCTCGTAACATTATGATTGGGCGATTACAGTGGTGAAGGAAAATTTTGCCTTAGTTGTTGTTTTCACTAGCGTGCAACCAACAGTGAACACGGTTGAAAGTGGGGAAGCTTGTGCCCCCATGCCCCCCCTGCTGATATGCCTATCATCACAAGCACTGTTCAATAGGTAGCGCCCACTGAAATAAAGTTTCTTTCCAAAACGCATAAATCTTCGCTGTGCTTTACAAGATACCTTTATTTCTCATTTTTGTTTGACATGATTCAACATGGAAGTTTGCACTGGAGTGCATATTTACTCTCCGAATATTTCTGGTTGCATTCTAAGTGTATTGTTGTTTACTGGCATTTTAGGAGTGCAACCTGCAGCTGACAGATGAGCGGGATAAGCGGTGCTACCCACTGGACGGCCACTTGCTGTGCCAGGGTTGTCACGTTCGGAGGCTGCAGGCTCAGGGCTCTGCTGCCCGAGGGGAGCCACCACCTCAGGTGAAAATCTACATTCATTACTCAGCTATTGCAATAGCATTAATCTACATGTTATTAGCTTAGAGTAAGTTCCAGATGGAGCCATTAGAATGTAAGATGGGCCAAGTAGAAATCCTGCGCCCTTCAAAGCGGACCAGTAGATCAAAAGATAAAGGTCATTTAATGTCACTTATGCCATCGCGACTCTGTCATTTCAGTACTGTCTACCATCTGAATATTCCAAGATTTTCACCACTGAGAAACTCTTATGTTTAAGTATGACAGCAGTAGAATACTCAGTTTGATGCAGAAATTCTTGAAAGGATTGCATTAGTGAATGTACAGTAGGAGACTACATTTAAACCCAGTAAATTCATGGTGATGTCTTAAATGGTAAATACTTACTCCTTGCCTGCTACCAAGTAATCTTTATTTTTCATTACATTTAAGTTGGGTTCCGTGTTTTTGGAGTTGATTTTTCCTTAATCTCCATTTCCCTGATATTAGTTGTTCAGTTTTGCATTATTCTCAATACTCCAATATCCTAGATGAACTGATATATGAACAAAAAAAAAACATAAAAACACACGAATCTTACCGTAATTACTCGAATCTAACACGCACCTTTTTTCCGGTTAAGCGAGTTCATAAATCGCATGCGCGTTAGAATCGAGTACGAACAAAAAAAATTACGGTCAATCTATTGCCATCGGCAAATCCAAAACGGCCGCCCCCACGGAGGAAGGAAAAACCTTTCCACGGAGGAAGGAAAAACCTTTCCTTCCTCCGTGGCCGCCCCCCTACGTGCGTCGGCGTGGCGCGTCGGCCATTTCTGCCTATGTGTTTCCCATGTGCGGCACTTCGTACGTGTGCTGAGGAGTTCATCATCTAGTAGTGCATTAGCATCGACGGCGTGGAAGGGCCGACTCCAAAAACTCGAGTGCACCACGATGCCGCTTTTAAAAGAAAAGTCATCGCGTGTGCAGAAACTGACGGAAATCGGGCCGCATCGCGGTCGTTCGGAGTTCCCGAAACACGCGTGCGGGACCGGCGGAAACAAAAGCAGAAGATTGTCGACAGCAAAGCTTCACGCAAAGGCTTCAGTGGACCACAACAGGGTCGGTTTCCGCAAATTAAAGAGCTGCTCGGCAAGTATGTGCTTGAGCAGCGAGCGGCACAGCGGCCCGTGACGACAGAACTGCTCCAAGTGCGGGCTATGCAATTAGTCTTAGAAAAAGGTCTAATGGGGAGCCAGTTTAAAGCGAGCAGGTGCTGGCTAACTAACTTTATGAAGAGGAAAGGCTTTTCCCTCCGAAGGGGAACATGCATATGCGAAAAGCTTTGCGGAGGAGTACGATGAAAAGCTTCACAGTTTTCAGAGGTTCGTCCTAAACTTGCGGCGCAACAACGGCTACCTGCTTGGGCAAATCGAGAATGCCGATCAGACGCCTCTTTACTTCGACATGCCTGGCACCACAACCGTCGAGAAGAAGGGGGTGAAGCAAGTTCGCGTGCTGACATCGGTCCACGGTAAAACTACAGTGACGGCAATGCTCTGTTACACGTCAGATGGGCACAAGCTTCGCCCGTACCTCATATTTAAATGGAAGACGCTCCCGAAAGGAGTCGTTTTTTCGAGTGGCGTGATCGTGCGGGCCAGCGAGAAAAATGGGTGCGCGTTGCAATCAATGTCTTGCGTTTTTTTTTTTTTTTTCGGGGTGGAAATCGGCTGCGCGTTACAATCGAGGGCGCGGTAGAATCGAGTAAATACGGTATTTCAGTTGTCTCAAATGTTTGAGCATACAAACACGTATGCACACAAGCACAAATACTTGAATATAAAGCACCTATGTTTGTGTGTATTATCAGCTTAAAGTTTGTTATAGTAGTAGACCTAAGGATACTTTTCGAGGACTGTGTTGTATGCAATGTCGTCTGCCATGCTCGAGTTCCACCAGGGGACCGTGCTCCAAGAAGCCCCACGTAGTATGTTGATGTCTCTCCCTTTGTGCGTGACAAGGTCTTCATAAACGTGCTATGGGTGCTGTCTGCAAGATAGTCTGGATCGGTTGCATAAATATTTTTTGAAATAGCATTGTGTCGTCACCTGTTTTACATAGAATAAAAAATGCTATTGTTTAGTCCGAACATGCTTTGCACTGTACTGTGTGTGTGTGTGCACGTGTGTGTGTGCGCTTGTCTGTGTTTTCGCTTCTTTAGTTGTTTTTCTTTTTTTGCAGTGTATCATTTTTTCTGTTTATTTATTTCCTTGTATATAGTGATATATTTTTCTCTATTTACTTTGCACTCGCCCCTCCCTTACTCAATGTCTTATTGGGACGTGTAAGGTATGACAAGTAAATAGAGTTTACATAAGCCAAGCTGGCTGATGTATCAATGACTGTTTAGGACATGCTCTTTAGGTAAAAATGGGAATTAAATCATATTGGCTGTTAAAATCTGAGTCTATAAGATAAATTCAAATAGTCCCAAACTCTTTTGTAAGTGTTTATCGGATTTTTTTTATTAATCTGAAATGGGACCACTCGTAGTATTGCGTGATTCCAGTTCTTTATGTGATTTTAGACTGTAGCTCTTTTGGTTTTGGGATGTTTAATTGCTATCGACGTTGGGCGCATATCAAAGTAAGGAGAAAGCAAGTAATTCAGTTCGGGGAACATGATAGCATTGGTGTAGCACTACTGCGGGCAACACCAGATTTTTTATAATGAGCCGCGGTGGCAGAACAAGCACGATAGCTTCACCTATTCCATATTACCATTGTGTGATTGGCCTGCGTTTGTTTTGCGTTTACACGCGGTGTTTGGCTACTGTGAAGAGGTCTTTTTTTGAGATTTGCAGTTGTCAGATCTCCAAATCAAGAAAATGTATTTCATTATAAAAAAATTCCATTTTTTCACTGTCGCGTTGTTCAGTCATTGTCCTGGCACTTCCTGTGCAAAACAAAGCCTTTTGCAGCCATACCTGCTTGAAGTTCAAGCAGGTATGCTTGTAGGAAGTTCAAGATAACAAAGTTTCAGTGTAATGAAGTAAATTTCTTATTTTATCGACGTGGTTATATCGAGGTTTAACTATGTGTAGTACAGTAGACTCCCGTTAAGTGAAACTCTCTTAAATGAAATTGCTGCTTAAATGGAGCAACTGCCACTAATACGTCTGGTTTCCTACTTTAATGTTGTACCCCTATTAATCTTCAGTAAACGAAACTTCTATTAAAAGAAACACATTTTCCTGGTCCCTTCAGGTTTTGTTTAAAAGGAGTCTAATGTATATTGCCCATTTCAATTGATCATCATCATCATCATCAGCCTGACTACGTCCACTGCAGGACAAAGACCTCTCCCATGTTTTGCCAGTTAACCCGGTTCTGTGCTTGCTGCTGCCAATTTACACCCGCAAACTTCTTAATCTCATCTGCCCACCTAACCTTCTGTCTCCCCCTAACTCGCTCGCCTTCTCTGGGAATCCAGTTAGTTACCCTTGATGACCAGCGGTTATCCTGCCCACGCACTACATGCTTGGCCCATGTCCATTTCTTCTTCTTGATTTCAGCTATGATATTCTTAACCCCTGCTTTTCTTCTTCTTGATTTCAGCTATGATATTCTTAATCCCTGCTTGTTCCCTAATCCACTCTGCTCTCTTCTTGTCTCTTAAGGTTACACCTACCATTTTTCTTTCCATTGTTCGCTGCGTCGTCAATTTAAGCTGAACCCTCTTTGTAAGTCTCCAGGTTTCTGCTCCTTAGCTAAGTACCGACACGACACAGCTGTTATATACCTTCCTCTTGAGGGATAGTGGCAATCTATTTGTCATAATTTGAGAGTGCTTGCCGAATGTGCTCGACCCTATTCTTATTCTTCTAGTTACTTCAATCTCGTGGTTCGGCTCCCCGATTATTACCTGCCCTAAGTAGACATAGTCTTTTACAACTTGAAGTGCACTATTACCTATCTCGAAGCTCTGCTCTTTTCCGAGGTTGTTGTACATTACTTTTGTTTTCTACAGATTAATTTTAAGACCCACCTTTCTGCTTTCCTTGTCTAACTCCATAATCATGAGTTGCAGTTCGTCCCCTGAGTTACTAAGCAATGCAATGTCATCGGCGAAGCGCAGGTTACTAAGGTACTCTCCATTAACTCTAATTCCTAACTGTTCCCATTCTAGGTTTCTGAAAACCTCCTGTAAGCATGCGGTAAATAGCATTGGGGAGATTGTGTCCCCCTGCCTTACACCCTTCTTGATTGGTATTTTGTTGCTTTCTTTATAAAGCACTATGGTAGCAGTTGACCCCCCTTAGATTCCTTCCAGGATGTTTATATATACTTTATCGACGCCCTGATTCGGCAGTGCATGCATGACGGCTGATATTTCTACTGAATCAAACTCCTTCTCGTAATTTATGAAGGCTATGTATAGTGGTTGGTTATATTCTGAGCATTTCTCTATTACCTGATTGATAGTATGAATGTGCTCGATTGTTGAGTAGCCTGTTCTAAATCCTGCTTGTTCCTTTGGTTGATTGAATTCTAATGTTTTCTTTACTCTGTTAGCAATTACCTTTGTAAATAGCCTGTATACTACAGAGAGCAAGCTGATCGGCCTGTAATTGTTCAAGTCCTTGTCATCTCCTTTCTTATGTATTAAGATGATGTTAGCGCTCTTCCAAGACTCTGGTACTCTTCCAGTCAGGAGACACCTCGTAAACAGGGTGGCTAGTTTTTTTAACACAATCTGTGCTCCATCTTTCAGGAGATCTGATGTTACCTGATTCTCACCAGCAGCTTTGCCTTTTTGCATGCTCTCCAAAGCTTTTCTGACTTCTTCTATCATTACTGGTGGGGTGTGATCTGGGTTACTGCTAGTTCTTATAGTATTATTGTCGTGGTTGTTCCGGTTACTCTACAGATCTCTGTAAAACTCCTCCGCTATTTTAACTATCCTATCTATATTGGTAGTTATTTTGCCTTCTTTGTCCCTTATGCATACATCCGATTTTTGCCTATTCCAAGTTTCCTCTTCACTGCTTTGACGCTTCCTCCGTTTTTCAGAGCGTGTTGAATTCTCTCCATGTTATACCTCTTACATCGCATGCCTTACGCCTATTAATCAACTTTGAAAGCTCTGCCAGTTCTATTTTGTCTGTTGTACTTGAGAATTTCACAATTTGACGTTTCTTAATGAAATTCTTCGTTTCCTGGGAAAGCTTTCCAGTGTCCTGTCTAACTACCCTGCCTCCAACTTCCACTGCACACTCCGTAATGACACTCGTCAGATTATCATTCATTGTATCTACGCTAAGGTTGGTTTCCTCACTAAGAGCCGAGTACCGTAATTACTCGAACCTAACGCGCACCTTTTTTCCGGTTAAGCGAGTTCATAAATCGCGTGCGCGTTAGAATCGAGTACGAAAAAAAATGTATACGGTCATTTTATTGCCATCGAAATTTTCAAAATGGCCGCCCCCTACGTGCGTCGGCATGGCGCGTCGGCCATTTCTGCCTATGTGTTCCCCATGTGCAGCACTTAGTACGTGTGCTGAGGAGTTCGCCATCTTGTAGTGCATTAGCATCGACAGCATGGAAGGGCCGACTCCAAAAACTCTAGTGCACCACGATGCCGCTTTTAAAAGAAAAGTCATCGCGGGTGCAGAAACGGACAGAAATCGGGCCGCATCACGGTCATTCGGAGTTCCCGAAACGTGCGTGCGGGACTGGCGTAAACAAAAGCAGAAGATTGTTGACAGCAGAGCTTCACGCAAAGGCTTCAGTTGACCACAGCAGGGTCGGTTTCCGCAAATTAAAGAGCTGCTTGGCAAGGATGTGCTTGAGCACCGAGCGGCACAGCGGCCCGTGACGACAAAAGTGCTCCAAGTGCGGGCTATGCAATTAGCCTTAGAAAAAGGTTTAATGCGGAGCCAGTTTAAAGCGAGCAGGTGCAGGCTAACTAACTTTATCAAGAGGAAAGGATTTTGCCTCCGAAGGGGAACGGGCATATGCGAAAAGTTTTGCGGAGGAGTACGATGAAAAGCTTCACAGTTTTCAGAGGTTCGTCCTAAACTTGCAGCACAACAATGGCTACCTGCTTGGGCAAATCGGGAATGCCGATCAGACGCCTCTTTACGTCGACATGCCTGGCACCACAACCGTCGAAAAGAAATGGGCGAAGTAAGTTCGCGTGCTGACATCGGTCCACGGTAAAACTACAGTGACGGCAATGCTCTGTTACACGTCAGATGGGCACAAGCTTCGCCCGTACCTCATATTTAAGTGGAAGACGCTCCCGAAAAGAGTTGTTTTTTTTCGAGTGGTGTGATCATGCGGGCCAGCGAGAAAAATGGGTGCGCGTTCCAATCGATGTCTTACTTTTTTTTTTTTTGTCGTGGAAATCGGGTGCGCGTTACAATTGAGGGCGCGGTAGAATCGAGTAAATACGGTACCTGTTCTGGAGCGAGACTCTGAATTCCTGTACTTTCCCTCTCAGTGCTAGCTCATTGATTTTCTTCTTGCTTATCAGTTTCTGTCGTTCCTTCTTCAAGTCTAGGCGAATTCGAGACTGCACCATTCTATGGTAACTGCATCGTACCTTGCCAACCACTTCCACATCCTGCACGATGCCTGGGTGTGCACTCATTATAAAGTCTATTTTGTTCAATTGATAATGCTTCTTCAATCAGTGTTGTTAGTTGAAGCTATTCTTGTGCTCAATGAACTCTACGTGTTTCATTGGAGCCCTTGAAAACATGCAGATATGTTCTAAGTTTTGAATTGTAAGCAGAATTATGGTAAGAATGATTTTTAGGCATGAACAAGGCATATTTGTTCATTTCTATTGTTTTATTTTAGGGGGCACAAGCACAGATTGTATGGAATGGAGCACAGCTACATTAGGCCTTGGTATATTTCTCTCAGGTAAGCAATCACGGTAGTCCTTTTGTTCTTTATGCATGTACTATTCTACTGGTCACAGTGTTCATTGTGTATATTTGAGTCTGCAAAATAGCATATTGTTTTCATTATAATTCTAGTAGCTTTGGTGGTACAGCAGTTATTATTGGCTAGGTAAGTATGTGTAGTCAAGATTTTTAAACTGCAAAATTATGCAAAATTTAATTCCACATGAGCCATTAGTTTAGCTGGAATTGTTGTCTATTAGTTGATATGTGTAGTATTTACTTGTCAATCTATGGCAATTTATATGTTGCTGTGCTGTCATTATGTCGAATTGTTCATTGTCAAAAGAAGACTGTAAGTTGGGCGAGTTAGTAATGATTCATAATGTAACTCTGCAAAAAACAGATGAAAACATGAAATCAGTGAGAAGGATAGACAAGCGCAGACTATCAATTGAAGCTTTATTGCAAGAACGAGGCACGCTTTTTTTTCCGCAAGGGAACTGAAGGTATGTAAGCAGGTATTCCAAAGAGTTTTTAGCAGTAGAGCCTTGGCTTGAAGTTTACTTTGGAATACTTAATTGACCGATGTGCCCAATTAATCGGTCTACAGCTGCAGTTGTCGCCCACGCATGTGTGTTGGTGCTGCGGTGAAACTTGTGCTGAACTGTAAATCGGTTTATACGAAACTGGTAAAAAATCCTATTGCACTCTCATGTTATAGCTCTGCACTGAAGAAATCCTGCACTCATTTAGTTGAAAATTTTTTTTTCTGGAGAAGTCCAAAAACTGAAACCAGCAAGCTTCCCACGAGATTTATAGTTAAAGGTGTGCGAGAAGTTCATTAAGAAAATAAAAGAGGTCCTGGTGATGGTTGTTAGTTGGATGAGAAGGCGCAGCATAAGAAATTTGCTGCTCTTCCATATGTTCACGGTTTTCCCCACCGCCTAAAAAATTTTGCATCAAGATATGACGTCCAAGTGCTTATTTCTGCCAGGAAAAAGTTATCCACTTTATGCACCATAGTAGACACACGAGTGGCAAATTAGCAAAATGTTCAGCAAGATACATGCAATATTAGTCATGATCGTATTGTCACGGGGTCGTGACGTGGCCGAAGACAGGAGACTTCGTGTTGGGATTTAACTGTTTATTTGGGCGAACCTGTGCCCAGTAAACGGAAAGTCCGATTACAGCAGCAGTCTTGCACAGATAGCAGTCTTGGACTGATAGCGGCGAACGGAGCGTCGGCCTTCGTTCAACTACTGACAAGCGGCGAAGCGCGTCGGCATTTATACTCTTGCCATCGAATGTTCTAGCGTTATCGCTGGCGGTGGCGTAGGTTCCAGAACAATCTGTACCGTTCGCACAGTAGGCGTGATCTTATCGAAATGATCTACTACAGTCCGGAACCTTCTTGAAAACTGCAGGCGCGGTTTGCGCTGAGAATCGTGTGGTGTTTTGGGACGATAACGAAAACTTGGGAAATGGAACGTGGCATTGCCCCCCTCTGAAAAAAGGCGTCGTCCCGATGCTTTAACTAAAGATGAAGGTACAATAATAATGCAAGAAAGTGCAATGAATAAGTTACGGTGAAACAATAATAAAAAACACTGTTTCAGTTTGTTAACACGCATGAAACGGCTTGAGGCGCGCGACATGCACGACTTCAGGTCGTGATCGGCGTCGTTGAGAGTTCGTGATGCCGTCGGGGACACCCTCGTAATCAAGTGGGCCGAGACGTCGAACCACCCTGTACGGTCCGAAGTAGCGTCGCAGAAGCTTTTCGCTTAGTCCACGTCGGCGTATCGGCGTCCACACCCAAACACGTTCACCGGGCTGGTATTCCACGAAGCGTCGTCGAAGGTTGTAACGGTGGCTGTCTGTCGTCTGTTGATTCTTGATACGGAGACACGCAAGTTGTCGGGCTTCTTCCGCACGTTGAAGGTGCTCGCTCACGTCGAGGCTTTCTTCGTCGGTGACGTTGGGTATTATGGCATCGAGCGTCGTTGCCGGGCTCCTTCCGTAGACCAATTTGTATGGAGATATCTGTGTCGTCTCCTGCACCGCCGTGTTGTATGCGAAGGGCACATATGGAAGAATGGCGTCCCATGTCTTGTGTTCGACATCGACGTACATTGACAGCATGTCGGCGATCGTCTTGTTAAGCCGCTCGGCGAGGCCGTTGGTCTGTGGGTGGTACGCTGTCGTCCGGCGGTGGTTTGTTTGGCTGTATGCCAAGATCGCTTGAGTTAAGTCGGCAGTGAATGCCGTTCCTCTGTCGGTGATAAGGACTTCCGGGGCGCCGTGACGTAGGACGATATTTTCGACGAAGAACTTACCTACCTCGGATGCACTGCCTTTTGGCAGGGCTTTTGTCTTGGCGTAGCGGGCGAGGTAGTCGGTAGCTACCACGATCCACTTGTTTCCGAAAGCCGACGTCGGGAACGGCCCTAGTAGGTCCATACCAATCTGCTGGAAAGGTCGGCAAGGTGGATCAATTGGCTGCAGAAGTCCCGCTGGCCTTGTCGGCGGTGTCTTGCGTCGCTTGACAGTCCCGGCATGTCCTCACATAACGAGTGACGTCGGTGGTAAGACGTGGCCAGTAGTACCTTTCTTGTATCCTCGCGAGCGTGCGAGAAACACCGAGGTGCCCTGCCGTCGGATCGTCGTGCAGGGCCTGCAGGAGTTCTGGTCGCAGAGCTGAAGGCACCACAAGGAGGTACTTAGTTCGAAGCGGTGAAAAGTTTTTTTTTTTGTAGAAGACTGTTTCGTAGGAAGAACGACGCAAGTGCGCGCTTGAATACCTTCGGGACTTCGGCGGTCCTGCCTTCGAGGTATTCTATTAGGGCCTTAAGTTCCGGGTCGGCCCGCTGTCGTTCAGCGAAGTCGTCTGTAGTTATTGTTCCCAAGAAGTAGTCGTCATCCGGGTCGTCTGGTAGTGGTTGGTCGACCGGCGCACGAGAGAGACAGTCGGCGTCGGAATGTCTTTTGCCGGGCTTGTAAATGACAGTAATGTCATATTCTTGAAGTCTCAGGCTGCATCGTGCGAGGCGACCTGAAGGGTCCTTCAAGGTGGCTAGCCAACACAAGGCGTGGTGGTCGCTCACAACTTTGAAGGGCCTGCCGTAGAGGTAGGGGCGAAATTTCGACGTAGCCCAGATGATGGCGAGGCACTCCTTTTCTGTTGTGGAATAATTTGCTTCTGCTTTGGATAGCGATCGGCTGGCATAACTAATAACCCTTTCAAGTCCGTCAGCCCTCTGCACAAGAACGGCGCCAAGACCTACGCTGCTTGCGTCAGTATGTATTTCTGCCTCGGCGAATTCGTCGAAATGGGCAAGTAACGGAGGCGTCTGGAGGCGATGTTTTAGCTCCTGGAAAGCGTGTTCCTTTGGCGTTTCCCACTTGAATTCCACGTCGGCCTTGGTAAGGTTAGTGAGAGGATCGGCGATGCGGGCGAAGTTTTTCACGAACCGCCTATAATAGGCGCACAGGCCCAGAAATCGGCGCACGGCCTTCTTGTCAGTGGGCGGCGGGAAGTCGGCGATGGCGGCTGTTTTCCGTGGATCGGGACGAACTCCAGACTTGCTGATAACGTGCCCCAGAAACAAGAGCTCCTCATACACAAATCTGCACTTTTCTGGCTTCAGTGTGAGTCCGGACGTCTTGATGGCTTGAAGTACAGCTGCAAGGCGCCGAAGATGCTCGTCGAAACTCGAGGAAAACACGACGACGTCGTCCAAGTACACAAGGCAAGTCTGCCACTTCAATCCTGCCAGTACTATATCCATAACGTGTTGAAAAGTTGCAGCCGCTGAGCAAAGGCCGAATGGCATCGCCTTAAACTCGAAGAGGCCGTCCGGTGTTATAAACGCCGTCTTCTCTCGGTCTCTTTCGTCGACTTCGATTTGCCAATAGCCAGTCTTGAGGTCCATTGACGAAAAGTACTTGGCGTTATGGAGCCGATCAAGTGCGTCGTCTATTCGTGGGAGAGGATACACGTCCTTTCTTGTGATTTTGTTCAGGCGGCGATAATCGACGCAGAAACGTAGGGTCCCATCCTTTTTCTTCACTAACACCACGGGGGATGCCCATGGGCTCTTGGACGGCTGGATAATGTCATCCCGCAGCATTTCATCTACTTGTCTCTTCATGGCCTCACGTTCTCGCGTCGAAACCCTGTACGGACTTTGACGGTGTGGTCTGGCATTTTCTTCGGTTATGATGCGATGTTTCGTGATTGGGGTCTGCCGAATTTTCAATGACGACGAAAAGCAATCTTTGTATTGCAGGAGCAGGGCCTTGAGCTGTTCTTGCTTATCGTTCGGAAGTCTGGGATTGACGTCGAAAGCTATGGGAAGGGCTTGGTTCCTCTGAGCAGGTTCCGCAGAATCGGCGAGGGCGAAAGCTCTGGTGGCTTCGACAATTTCTTCGAAGTATGCGACCGTTGTTCCTTTGTTCACATGTTTGTACTCATTGCTGAAATTCGTGAGCATAACCGTTGCTTTGCCTCCCCGCAGCTCTGCAATTCCTCTTGCGACGCAAATATTTCGGGTGACTAACAGATGCTGACTGCCTTCAACGACGCCTTCCAAGTCAGGTGATTTAGGAGCGCCGACTGAAATAATGACGCTTGAGCGAGGCGGAATGGTGACTTGTTCTTCCAGCACATTCAAGGCATGGTGTCCTGACGGCGTGCGCGGCGGTAGTGCTTCTTCTGTGGATAACGTTATCGACTTTGTTTGTAGGTTGATGACAGCACCATGGAGGCATAAGAAGTCCATGCCAAGGATGGCATCTCTCGAGCAACGCTGGAGGACTACGAAGTCTGTAGGATAAATACGGCCGTTAATGGTGACTCTCGCTGTGCAGATTCCTGCAGGCGTTACGAGATGACCTCCAGCTGTGCGGATTTCAGGGCCTTTCCAAGCTGTCCTAACTTTCTTTAACTTCGCGGCGAACGGCCCACTGAGGACAGAATAGTCGGCTCAAGTATCGACTTGAGCGGTCACACTGTGGCCGTCGATAAGAACGTCGAGGTCGCTAGTTCGCCGTCTCGCATTACAGTTAGGGCGTGGCGTCGGGTCACGGCTGCGTCGGCTTGTTCCGCTGCTTCCATGTTGCGTCGTCAGGCCACCTTCGGTAAGTGAGCTTTCGCCGTCAGGGCTTTGCCTGGTTGGCGTTGTGTTCGGAAAGCTCCGTCGCGGCGTCGTCGTCGTCGGAGGATCTTCGGTAGTTCGTCGCACCACAGCAACCGCACCTCCACCGGTTGCTGCCCTTAGTTTCCCGGATACGGGCTAGGAGACCGGCCCCGCGTTGGGCCGGAGTACTGCCGGGGGTGCGGTGACATGCGGCGGCTGGGCGACGGCGAACGGGAAGGACTTCGTGGTGTCCATTGAGTTCCTGTCAGGTAGTGGGCGATGTCACGTGGTCGTTCCCCTGGCTGCGGACGTGGTGCATCGACGGCGAAGCCACGCAGTCCCATCTGTCGATACTGGCAACGGCGGTAAGTGTGCCCGGCCTCGCCGCAATGGTAGCACAGTGGGCGGTGGTCAGGGGTGCGCCAAACGTCGGTTTTCCTCGGCGCACTGCGCTGGCCCCCTGGCGAACGGCAGGTCGTCGGTGGGGGTGGTGGCGGCGGTGGTGTCTGGCGACGGAAGTGCGACGGGGCGGCGTTTCGGCCTTGACCGGGAGGAGCGTTGTGGCGCACTGCAGCGGCGTAGCTCATAGTTTCTGGCTCGGGCATCGGTGTTTGGAGAATTCGAAGCGATTGCCGAACTTCTTCTCGCACAATGTCGGCGATCGAATCCACTTGAGGTTGCGCCGAAGGCAACTGTTTGCGCAGCTCTTCCCGCACGATCGCTCGGATCGTTTCACGCAGGTTGTCGAAGTCACTGGCTTGAGCAGCAGCGCATTCTGGAGTCAGGCGACGATTATACTGTCTGGTGCGCATGTCCAGGGTTTTTTCGATGGTGGTCGCCTCGGATACAAATTCTTGGACGGTGTTCGGTGGATTCCTCATTAGTCCCGCGAAGAGCTCCTGTTTGACCCCTCGCATGAGGAAACGAACTTACTTCTCCTCAGGCATGTCTGGGTCAGCGTGACGAAATAGGCGGGTCATCTCCTCTGTAAAAATTCCAACCTTTTCATTTGGTAGCTGAACCCGGGTCTCTAGTAGAGCAGCGGCCCTCTCTTTGCGGGCGACGCTCGCGAACGTTTGCAGAAATGCGCCGCAGAAGACATCCCACGTTCGGACCGTGGACTCCCGATTCCCTAGTCAGGTCCTTGCGGTGTCTTCCAGGTAGAAGTACACACGACGGAGCTTTTCTTCGTTGTCCCAGTGGTTGAGGGCGGCCACACGGTCGTATGTTTCTAGCCAGGTTTCCGGGTCTTCAAACGATGACCCATGAAACGTTGGTGGTTCCCTGGGTTGATGAATGACGATCGCGGGCTGGGATGCTCCGGTTGTCATAGTCGCTGCAGTAGAGGTCATGGCCTTGGCTTTCCGCGCCTTGTCTTGTAGAAGCCCGTACTCCGGTGGGAGACCTTGCTGTCGGCGGCTTGTTCGCTGCTCTTGGTTGGCGTCGGTGTCTTCTCCGCGACGTGGGCTGGGTTCACGGCTCGACGGGGGCGTCCGGTACATGAACGAAGCAGCACCTCCACCAGATGTCACGGGGTCGTGACGTGGCCGAAGACAGGAGACTTCGTGTTGGGATTTAACTGTTTATTTGGGCGAACCTGTGCCCAGTAAACGGAAAGTCCGATTACAGCAGCAGTCTCGGACTGATAGCGGCGAACAGAGCGTCGGCCTTCGTTCAACTAGAAGCGCGTCGGCATTTATACTCTTGCCGTCGAATGTTCTAGCGTTATCGCTCGCGGTGGCGTAGGTTCCAGAACAATCTGTACCGTTCGCACAGTAGGCGTGATCTTATCGAAATGATCTACTACAGTCCGGAACCTTCTCGAAAACTGCAGCCGCGGTTTGCGCTGAGAATCGTGTGGTGTTTTGGGACGATAACGAAAACTAGGGAAATGGAACGTGGCAATATTTATGTGTTCTTTATAACCGGGGTTGTCTTCTCCATACTTTTGTCATGCAGTCGTGTATACGTGAGCCAAAAAGGTCACTGTCTGAATGTTAGAGAACATATTTATTCTCTAAAAGGCCATCTGTCGTTCATTTAGCAGCCCACTGTAAGAAATGCGGCTGTGCTCCGCTCTTTAGTGATACTTCAGTGTTGTTCCGGAATAAGAACCTAAGAGTGCTCAAACTTTTTGAGACTGTGCTTATTCACGAGAAATCTGAGTCTTGCATCTGTGTTCCATCTGTCCCCATACGTGATAAAGAGTTAAGTTATCTGGGTTTTGTATATGGGCGTGCTATGCTTAGATGTGGCTTATATTTTTGTGATATGGTCCCTCGTGCCTTTCTTTCTCCTCCCCCCTTTGCTCTCTCTCGCTTTTTATCCTGCCCTTTAGATGACCTTGTTCTTGCAATAAAGCCTCAGTTGATACTGTGCGCTTTTCGCGTTTCCATCCATATTTTGTGCACTTACATTATGTATGGTTCATTGTAAAACTCAGTGAAGTTGCCGTAGTGTGCTGTTGCAAGTGTTTTAAATACCACATTCAAGAAGAAACTTCAATTTTGTAATAACCCTTGCCTAATTGCTGTTTACAGTGATTTGCTGTAAGCTAGATTTGCAGTTTACTTCATTCCCCCTTTTGGTGCACCTTTGAATACTAGCAGTGCACAAAGTTACTTAACTGTAATGGGGGCCTCTTAAGTTTGGTGCAAGCTCATGTAATGTCATGTCCAGTCTCCATATTTGTTTTTTTGTGTGTGTGTTTTTGTAAAATGTTATTGCAATCTTTTATTCAAGAAATGAGGATTTCTGTTGTTCTAATTCATCTGTTTTGCTTTTGTCACCTGAAAGTCTGTCTTGGCCCTTACTATTTATTTCAGGGCTGGTCCTTAAGAGGAACAACTAAACAAACAAAATAAAACACAAGAGTTGCCTGAAGATGGAGGGCACCCTTTCTTTTGCAGCAAGCAGTGCCAATACAACATTCAACTCCTCGAAAAATGTTTTTATACATATATACATATATATATATATATATATATACATATATATAATGTATATGCACAGCACTTTTCTTTTTTGTTTATCTCAGTGAATGAAAGGTTTGTTTAGAGACCCCCATGGGCGACTTGTTTAAATGACCAATGTTCCAGTCGTCGGCAGCAGAGGGATGCGTACAAGTGCTAGGTGGCACGGTAGTAGCATGTACTATCGGTGTCAAATGAAACCCGAACAGTGGCAAGCATTTATGATGGTATAGTGTGTGCCGTCCACTTATCACCTTGGACAGGCACACACTTATGCGCAGAGATGCCGGACAGGATGCGCGCGCCTCTCAACGGTGATAACTGGACGGCACGCACTATACTATCGCAGAGGCTTGCCGCTGTTCGGGTTTCATTTGACGCCGATAGTACATAGCACTTGCATATGAAGAACACTGGGCATGGTGCATAAAGCATTATTCTGTCAAATGCTGAGGGTCCAAAGCAGCAGCATCCACTGTCACGCCTGCAGCCCATTTTTTTCTGTATTTTTTTTTCTTCTTCTGTGTACTTCTTTCTTTTTTATCCGAATAAAGAAGCTCTGAAGCACACACACAATATACTGGCATACAGGTGACATTTCTTGCACACGTGAAGTATCTGGTGTGAATGAACGATAATTAATCCACATGCACTTTAAGACTACTTGAATGCAGCCATTCAGTTGGGGAAAGTTTGTTCCGCTCACCTGCCCTTTATCTTCTACAGTGACTATCATTTCACTTCCGAAACTTTAGATTGTCGTTTTTGCAAAGGGAACTTATGAATTGTGCATTATTAGCTTGGAGATCTTGTAGTCACCTTCCAGTTCTTTGGACGTCAAACTTTTTTAGATAAGTATTTTCTCTCTCTCTTTCAGCACGCTTAACAAGCGTTGTCCGCATTTCAGTGATTGCTAAAAGCACTGGCTTAAAACCATAAAAAATTCAGAAGGCTATACTGCTGTTCCCTATACTCCGTTTCATACATCAGGTGCAACGCTGTGAAGGCTAGGCAAGTAGTCCGTAAAGAAAACGCGAGGTGTTGCTCCGCGCAGTTTTGTAGCCGAGTGGTCTGACGCGTCGGTCCGGAGAGTTCACCGTAGTTTTGAAATGCATGGGTTCGAATCCACGTGGTGCCATTTTTTAAAATAATTTTTGCGAGTTCAATTCGAAATCTTGTTTTTTTTTCAGTAACTTCAACTTACTTACTGACAGCTTTGATGTGCGAAGCTTCGAAAAAATTCGCGCAGGGGAGGTGGTCGAGGACGCAGGGCTGGACGCCATTTTTTCGAAGCTTCCACAACAAGTAAAAAAAAAATGGCGGCGCGGGTCGCGTGGAGAGCGAAAACCTGATACGAAAGCGGCAAACATAAATTACCAACTCGCATATTTGGATTGTTTATCCGACAACACAGGCGTTTGTTTTTTAACCTGATGACAAATATGTATGCTTAGAAGTTTCCCGAGAAGCATTTATTGATTCTCGTACACCCCAAGCGACGCACTACTTTTTGGTCGCAGCAGTACACAGCGCAAACAAGAGCGCTAGCTTTGACAGCGTTGCACATGATGTATGAAACGGAGTATAAGTAAAAACTGTGACGGCAACAACCTGCAGTGATCACAATGACATTTCCTGGGCCCTAAGTAAAGTTTTTAAAGGGGCCCTGTGACACCTTTCAGCATGTTTAGAGAATGCTGCCGATCGGTAGTCGAGGCTCCTGAGAACACCCAAGCCAAACATTATGGCACAGCCCGTGGCCAGGAATTTACAATTGATTTTCAAATTCAGCTAGACGTTACCAGCAAGATTGCGCAATGAGTGTGCGTAGCAACGTCGTCACGACGCAGCGGCGCGCGCTCTCATCTCTCACGTGCACTTTGCCTCGCGACAAAAAGCAGGGGGCCGACGCTTACTCGCCTGCCCTTATCTCGCAGTGGGGAGGATCGTACGTCTTGGCTGGCATTTGGCTTTCACCGGAACGATTATGTTGTAGTTACTGGGTGCAAAAATGCCACTGCAATCGTTGCACAGTCTTAGTTTGCAAAAAGAGTGTGCTTTTCAGTCACAGCGAAGTAACATCTGATGCACTTATTCGTGTTCATCTGTACCTGAGAGTATGTTTCTTGCATCATTTGTGCGTGAGAAACGCGGGGCACATTTCGATCTGCTGGCCATTTTGCGCATGACCTTCCAGTTTGTTGCTATCCCGTTCATTCCTTCGCTTTTGCGGCAAAGCTGTGATTTTTTTTATTGTATTGCCCATCAGCCCATGGAAAACACGGTGAAATGGAGGTCACTTAGGGCTTCGTCCTGAAGTGGACAATGAGTAGGCTGATGATAATCATGCTTTTTTTCTTTTCATCTTCTTGCTGGAGGTGCTCTGAAACACTTGTCTAAGTGACTGTAGAATGACCTCATTATTGTAGTATTCTGCCTCTCGAACCGCCTACTGAAAAATTTTTCTCAATCCTTCAAGTATAGTGGATATAGAGGTTCCTATTGCACCAACACCCTGCTTTCTCATTTCAATTGAAATAAAAATTCAATTGGAATAAAAACAATCTGTCATTACCTATTGGGCATTTTGATTCCCATTTTCTCCATTAATGCTTCCAGTGTTGCTAAGAACCAAGTAAGCAGGCAATTCTATACAGTTCATGACAGGGTATAGTAAATTTCCTGCCACATACAGTACAATAATATTTGGTTTGCATGTCAGTCTTCATGATAATGATCATCACAAAATTTTAGCCCAGCAGATAAGGCCGTCAGTTCAATTGATTGTACTACCACTTGGTTGCTGTATGACATGGTTTGCAGCCTGTCTGTCCAGGTTTCCTCTGCCTTATCTGCCAGTTTTGATAATGTGGGTCAATATAGCTAAAGAAGTTGTAGTTTCGTGTACATTGTTTGGCATGTTGGCTGTTTGGTACACAGTGATGGCATCATTAGGAAAGTCAAAAGGTGGGGGAAGAATTATTGTGCCGAAGTGGGCATGTCCACCTCCTACTGTCCATTGGTGTGCTGGGACCCATAGCAGTTGTTTCCATGCTACTTTTTCTCTGAATTGTATCAGTATTTCATAGACATGGGGTGCTATTCAATATATCATTTCGTTTCTATACTCTATTTGGGAATTGATAAGTACAAAAAGATTGAGTTGGAGTACACAGCAGCAAGGGCAATAGCTACCTTTTCTATGGTTAGTGCATCTTCATTGTTCAGCGAGATGCTGTTCATGTGCTTTTGATGTACCACCGCCATAATATAGACAACATTTAATTGACCTGCAACTTCCACCAAGAATCAGCCCTCTGTGAATAATGGTCATTTCTGAATGTTGAGCATGCAGATCTTCTGGCATGATGGTCTCTTGAATGCATGCTTCGTGTATTCAGAACACCATCACTTTCATAGCTTGTTGAAAATGTGTTTCGGGGCCTCTTTAGCTGCTTGCATCAAGCATACTGAGCCAATAGATTGTTCTTTGAATTGTGTTGCAGGAGCACATGCAATGGCTTTGTGCTCGCAGATATGCACATGCATTTCAATCAGCCTGCCAGCATTTTTATTTTTCTTATTTGCAACTTTCAGCAGTTATTTTGATGAGAAACTGGTCATCCTTCATCATATTTTTATTACTTTTTGTGTGCACATGCAGTTGCTTGTGCTCCGATTTATATTAGTAAACTGCTTCATGCAAGGCATTTGTAGAGGTGGATGTTCCAATTAAAGCAGCTGTGCTTTTGTCTGTGCATCGTTGGTGCCAACCTGGAGTCTGCTAATGTCTGAATTTGTATGTAATGTGCCATTAGAATACTCTGCTATGATTTAAAAGCTATGAACAAGTTGTGTGGAAATGCCATTGGCCTTTGATAAACCTTTGTTAATGTTTTCACACAGCGACTTTTTAAAGCGTTCCATACTACTTGTATCTAGAAAACCAGTGCGAATCTTTAGAGAGTTACGCTCTTAGAAAGCTATGTCACCTGCTTCCACTAGATAACAGTTTGTCCTAGAAGATGTACAACAGTTTAAATGTGATGCATCTGGATCAAAATAGAGCCTGCAGATTTGTGAAACTACATGCATCTTATTATCTCGTTTTCACTTTAATTGCTTTTTGGTCTAAGATTGCTACACTAGCAGGCACTATTACCTTGTGTAGGAACCAAGTTTTTTTCTTTTGGGCATACACATATAAAAACTTGGCCACATTTCATTTGTGTGCTTGTTCTATGTCTAGCTTGTGGAGTTGACAGCAATGATTTCTTTTTTCTTTGCTATCTTTCATAGATGTAGAATTTAGGGGACGTTTGTGTTCAGAAAAGTGCTTGTTTTGGTTGTCTCGTGGGGTATTGTGTCATTTTGTTGGGCCCAGAATCCTGTGTTTAAGTGTGTGTGATTTTTTGCGTGAGGTTCATACACTCGGTGCACTGATCAACAGTACGGTAGAGTTGCAGTAATATGGCTGTTTTACATTTCATGTTAACCATGCCATATTTGTAGTTTGCCACTTCCAATTTTTCCATGCATTGTCTGACAGTGTAAGTGCCTGAACGTTTTGCACTTGCACACTGCTAGTGAATCGGCCCCAGAAAATGTTGAAAGCTAAGCATGTCAGCTTCAGACTTTTTGAAATATGATCTTTTAGGAGCCATAACAGCATTGCACATGTTGGGTTTTCATGTCTCAACACTGTGTGGTACTTTTATCCAAAAGCATACATAAGCATAATGGCAGGGACAGTATCTAAAGTGATACACAGTTATTACACTTGGTTTTGCCTTATTTTGAATGGTAATCATTTTGATGGTTACTGGTTTAGCAGTGAAAAAAAAATTTTATATCTTGGTGTTGTAGAGAAGCTTATGACTACAAGAAAAAGAAAGGACGCATACAAGCGCTAAACGGTGTGTGTCTTCTTGTCCCAATTTTCACAAGTTTCTGTGCTAGACACTGGGAGTATATATACATGTTGAGGGACTGTGCTCTCCACAAGTTGGCCTGTCGCTGTACAGTTGGCATTCATGTCATTGCATGTGAATGTTGCTGTATAAGTGCTGTGAAAATTATCTTCATTGTAGGAATGCAGCAACATTTTGTCACTTCTTAATTTGCATCCATATTTATATATATGCGACTATAAGTCAGTTTTTTTTTTTACTGCATGGAGAACTGAGCCTTGAAACAAAATGCACTATGTTTTCAAGCTGTGTAGTTGGGGAATGGAAGTTTTATCTTGTCATATTTGTTAGGTGTAATGCAGACATATCTGTCCTGAAAAAAAAAAATTAGCACCATGAAAATAGAACTGTGCTCCATCAGACAGCTAGAAGCACTTCCACATTGTACAATTTATAGAAGTATCATGTTGATTTGCACTTTTTTCCTGTACAGATGAATACAAATGGACCATATTTTTTCTTGTGCAAATAAATGGTGATATAAAGGTTTTTTTTCATATGTACAGTCCATTGACAATAAACTTTTGCTTATTGTCAGGCTTTTGTCATGTACACTGCATCTATCTATTACAGTACTTTGCAGCAAATTCACTGTAATTTAATCTTTC